AAACATTGTGAGAAAACTTGACAAAAATCTCACAAAATTGGGTTTTAAACGTCCGTAAGTTTTTTTTACAAAGTAGCGAGGCCATATTTTAATAGCTAAAGACACTTTCGCCAATCCAGTGAATACATTAAAATGATTCGAGGATCTTGATAGGTACTCTCGTTTTCAGGAGAAGGCCGCGTAAAATGGCCTTTGGACCGTGACAGACGGAAGATAGACAACAACGGAATTGAGATAATAATTGATGATTCAGATAATAACGGAATTGAGATGAAACTTTTTTCGGATTCTTGAATGTTTAAAACGTAAAAATAATCTAAAAGTTGATGATTCTGAGCAATGTACAGACAAAACTCTAATTTTATTTATATAGATTAGTACCTGTGGTGATTTTTATTAGAAATTTATTGAAGTAAATAAACAGCAAAGTTAAAAACCATCTGACCAGTGTTTTTATTTAAAAAGTACGTAGGCCTATTTGATTGGCTTTGTTTTCTGAACTAAAATATCTATTTCCTGATCTATTTTTAGTTCCTGTTTTCGAAACATAATTTGGCAAAACAATTATTTATTCATTAAACAACTTGATCGAAAAATAATTTCTAAACATTGGAGGACAATTAAAAAACTTTTGAATTCTAATAAACCTAGCTACCGTACCTGTGTTTTACATCGGAGAGGATTTTGAAGAGAAAAAGTTTGATACACGTCACATATTTATTTCAAATCCCACACCAAACACGTCATGTTAATACGTTTACTTCCTTAAATTAAGAATGTCACAATCTCCAATTAACAGGCCCGTAGCAAAAGTTAAAAGTTTCACAAATCGAATCGTTTCTACCTTTTGGACCGCAAAATCAAAGAACTTTATTGACAGCATTTAAAGCTGACTTCATTAAACATTCTGTTATCTACATTCTTCAAAAATGTAAACATTGTGAAACTTTGGAATCCCATGGGGCGTAACTCAAAGAAAACACGTTAAATGTAATCGGTATATTTGTTAACCAGGTACAGGGCTACCTCTTGAATTGATATAGATAATAAATCGTAAAATAAAGAAATATAAGTTGATTGATTATTGGCTCTTACAAAAGGGTAAACAATCAAGGAACATGATTTAATTAAGTAACCACACATCACTGAGTCTATATCTTCATTCTTTCTTGTAAAAATCGCTTTGATTGTGGCTATATAAAATAGGGAAGTAATATTTCACTGTACAACGAGCTCAAAAAGCTCGAGAACCAGCAATAAGATGGAAATAACCGGCAGAACCTTTAACCATCCACTGGCTTGCTAGTCGCTACCCCAGGTCGGTCGGTAGCCGGGTAGCCCATCAATGGAACCCGTTAGGCTCGCCCCTACCTCTCGCCACAAAAGAGACAAGAATTTTGCCTTGTTCCACACGCCTTTGATTGTTTGAGGCGGGAAAACTATTTGTGTGCTATGGCTCGCGCAACACAGGCTATTGTTTTCGTATTAGTTGGCCTTTTTCCAAGATGACCGTGACCGTTAACTTATTTTATGGACTCCCTTGGAGAATAATTCAAAACTACAAAGAACATTTCTAATCCCACAGTATACTAGCTATTTAAATTATAAACACTTATAAATATTTTTGGACGATAAATTTTGCAGCTTTTTGAAATCATCCAAGATGGCCGCTTGCCTCCAAGGACTCAACAATAGGCATAATTGTGCGACTATAAAGCAATAACTTCCCACCTTACGCTTGCGAATTAGTACGGTACATATTTGTATCCACAGTTGCCAGAACGACTATTAAGACGACCAAAGATTACATTGACATTTAGGTATTTAATCTGTAGAATAGTAATTGTTAAGTAATCTGGAAGACAACTAATTAAAATGAAGTGCGAAAGATGGGTTATGAGAGTGCTCAATGCCTGAAGCATAATCCATTTGTTTGAGGTGCGGATTTTCAAGCTTGTAGAACAAATAAATATCACAAAGTAGAAGGGCAGGGGTGAAAGTGACTGAAGTGACGGGATACCCGGGTGGATTTTCAGTGACTGGATTCCAGTGGTATGCGGTAAAATATATAGTGACTGGCTTAGCAGCACAAATTTTACGTGACTGGCTTTCCCATGCAAATGCGGTGGTGACTGCATTAGCATAGCATTTTTTACGTAATTATATTTTAGTATTTTTAAGAAAAAAAGAGATATATACGTTCAGATATGTCTAGGCTTAAGATATTTACCAACATATATTATATATATATCATAGTCTTGAAATATATTGGGGGGTGCAACTGACTGACTTCCAGTGTATATTTTATGTGACTGGCTTCCCGGGCACGGCCGTGTATATATATATATATATATATATGTGTCCGTTAGCACGATAACTCGAGCAAAAATTATCCGATTTTGATGAAATTTGGTACAGTACAAACGTGTAAACCTACGTTTATTCGAACGAGTTCGCAATCCAGCATGATCGGACCATGGGAACGGGGGTTTACGGGGGGTTTTATGGGGTAAAAATAGGTTTTTCCCATTTTTGACCCAAAAAACATAAAATTTAGCAATTTCATTCCAAATCATTTTGTAGAGCCTAAAAAAACAAATAATTTAGTATATTGAAGCGTTGTTATACGCCTAATGGTTACGGAGAAAATTCCAAAAAATTGTAAATTTAAAATTCCAATGTTATTCTTATGGAGAATAAGTAAACTGTTGTAGTTTACTTGTTTATGAACATATTTTGATCAAATTTGGAAAATGTTTTAATTTCTTACTAACTATTAACATTTTACAAAAAAAAAAAAAACAGTTTTACCCTCCCTGATGCAGCAAACCTAAGTACTTGTTAAACTAATTCTATTTAAATAGGGAATAAATGTTATATTTTTAAGTAGACATTTCAGTGTAAATCCAATCAGTCAAATGGAAATTCGCTTAGTCTGCAGGTTTGCTGCGGCGGGGGTATTTATAGTTTAAGTGAATTTTTCATGTCTGACATTGATATTAGTTTTTAGTTTCTGACTGATGTAGGTCTTAAATCTGTAACTTACTTTGTTGTTTAAATTATTTAAAGTAGCCTAAGTTATTGAATGTTATAGGCCCTAATTAATATGCTAACCACTGGACATTTTATCCTTGCAGATTACTGAGACTTCTTAGCCTAAGTTACTCTCATATTGACCTCAACTAGGCCTATACAAAATGTTATTTTTGTAATTTGTTGCAATAAATTCTTGATTGATTCTTGATTGATTGATTGATTGATTGATTGATTGATACAATAGAAACACAGTCCCTTAAATGTATGAATAAAGATGATATCGACCTAATTTTGGTATGTAAATAATTCAAATTTGAATCCCATTTAACTGTGTCATCTACATAAACCCCTAAGAATTTATGAGCTTCAACTAAATTAAAAGCATACTGGCATTACTTCAAGAGTGGTACAAAAGACTTGATTTAAACCATGGTGCTGTCTCATGGGTAGTCTAACATACCTCGTCAGTGGTACAACAGACTTGATTTAAACCATAGAGCTGTCTCTTGGCCAGTCCGACATACCTCATGAGAGGTACGACATAATGGTAATACCTCAAGAGTGGTACAACAGGCTTTATTTAAACCATAGAGCTGTCTCTTGGCCAGTCCGACATACCTCATGAGAGGTACGACATAATGGTAATACCTCAAGAGTGGTACAACAGGCTTTATTTAAACCATGGTGCTGTCTCTTGGCCAGTCCGACATACCTCATGAGAGGTACGACATAATGGTAATACCTCAAGAGTGGTACAACAGGCTTTATTTAAACCATGGTGCTGTCTCTTGGCCAGTCCGACATACCTCATGAGAGGTACGACATAATGGTAATACCTCAAGAGTGGTACAACAGGCTTTATTTAAACCATGGTGCTGTCTCTTGGCCAGTCCGACATACCTCATGAGAGGTACGACATAATGGTAATACCTCAAGAGTGGTACAACAGGCTTTATTTAAACCATAGAGCTGTCTCTTGGCCAGTCCGACATACCTCATGAGAGGTACGACATAATGGTAATACCTCAAGAGTGGTACAACAGGCTTTATTTAAACCATAGAGCTGTCTCTTGGCCAGTCCGACATACCTCATGAGAGGTACGACATAATGGTAATACCTCAAGAGTGGTACAACAGGCTTTATTTCAACCATGGTGCTGTCTTTTGGCCAGTCTGTCATACCTCATGAGAGGTACAATAGACTTGATTTAAATCATAGTGCTGTCTCTTGACTGGTCCAACACACTAGATCTAAAGTCTAAGCATTGTAGTTATTTGATGGTTCTCTGGTAGCAAAACATGGTAGGAACATTTTCCATCCAATGTCGTTGGTTTTTAATTTTATTAGTTTTTACATCATTGGAATTTTTTAAATTTTCTTTGATAAGCAGGGACCAGACCCTGGTTTCTTTACTATATAACATCAAAGATTTGTTAGATAGCTTCATAATTGATATTCTAATAACAAATTATATATAGGTTTAGAATCGATCTCAGTTGGAATATAACTAACAACCTTCAAATGTGAATGCAATACTCCATGTTGCACTAGTGAGTACCATGACTATCCGTAGTGCTATCCTGATAATTAGACCAATTCGTTAATACCAAAGCAAGAATGTAATTCGTTTTCCACTATAAACTGTAGGTCCCTTAGTTGCCATTAGCTGTTTGGGCTATTAATTAACAGCTGTGTCTAAGGAATAGGTCGGCCTTAGTCACTAACAAGACTACAAGATCGCGCTCATCCTTCACTCATATTTAGGCTAAAATATGCACATTATGGCGTCCCCATCTTAAATCATTGATTGAAATTTGAAGACAAAATAACTAGTTGTAAATGTTATTTTTTAAGGAATTATATCTGGCTTTGTGTATTTAAATGTTAATAAATTCAAATTGTGCACTTTAACCATTAATACAAATTAGTGTTATACTCCTGCAAATTATAACTGTGTTTTCAGGTTGTATGCCAGAAAATACTTTTACGGATATTTTAGATAAAGATATTTTCCGTACTATTTTGAAACTATCCACTAAAGATACTTCGTCTTATGTTAGAAGTTCTGCACTGAAGGTTTTGACTAAAGCTGTGACTACCAAGAACTACATAGTTAGAGACGCAATAGAGGAGCTGTGTGTAAGTTGCCAAATTTGGAACTAATTTACTTTGTTATCCTATATTTGCATCCTAAGTTATGAAAAAATAGTTTTCAATCTCAATTTCTTTGTTATTTTATAACATAACAAAGAAATAACAGAAACATAACAAAGAGAAATCAGAATAGAACAATTCAGTCCTTTAAATATACTGTATTCAACAGTTTGTTAATTATTAAATGGACTCATTTGTAGAACTTAATGTTATGAAACGCTTTTTGGTTACTTCAATCAGCCTCGTGTTAGATAAAACCAATAAACTTGATAGGGTAAATGCAAACAAATTAAATGTTAATATAACACACTCACACTTTTGTCTTACTCTAAAATTACTTTTGTTGACTTATGCATTCATTTTCTACCCTATAAGTATTTAATATTTTAATAATTTCAAGCCATGTTTGAAAGGACGTAGCATTTACAATGTTGTTGGAAGATGAGATGCCTGAGCCGAGAATGGCAGCATGTGATCTACTCTCCGCAATGTATCATGCTGACCTTCTCAACAGTGTTTGGTAAGCTACTTGCTATAAACATCTCAAAAGGATAAAATATATTTGCAATTTTTCAATTTCCATTTTGACTTAGAACCAAATTTTTACAGTTTATGCGAAAATATACCCCCTTTATTTACAATAATGAGTGGCTGAGTGATTCTGGATAATGCAAACCTAACCTAAACTGCCCAGAAAGTAACTAACATTGACTTTGAATTTATAATTAAGCTTTGATAGAGGTTTAGGTAATAATAACATGATTTTAATACAGTTTAGATTCATCGAATTTGTTTCACAAACTTCTATTTACAAAACAAATTATATTGGAGAGCATGGCCTAGTGATAACAAAAACCAAACACACACAAAATGTAACTTTTCACCCCATTGGTTGATATTGTTTATTAACTGTCAGTGAAGCAAACAGTGGCAAGTCTATAGTCTATGATGTGTCTCTTCACGCTAAATATCTTGATCGTCGTTGCTGTATAAAGTATATTTAACCTGCATTTTGTATTTTTTATTTTGATTATCTTGTGATTGTGGTTAATCATAAGTCTACTGTTTTATGTTTGTTTGTAATATATAGACTTTTGTTTGCAACCTTTTTAAAATCTTAAATATCTCATTTTAAAGCTATTGAAACCATGGATATGATTTGCTATCTAAATATATATTTGCTACATAAATATATTGACTTTAACTGTGATTTTTTCAAACTCAAAAAAGTTTTAAAAATTTTAAAAGCAATTCACACCGAAAATATGTTAAAAATCACATACAATTTTCTGTTTGGTAATTAAGTTTACGGATTAATATTTTTCAACATGAACGCATGTTTTTACTGATTGGCGCTAGGACAGCCACTGTTTAGCCTGGCATCTGACGGTCAACAACAATGCAAAATTATTGACTCCTGCCGACTCTCAATAACAAATGATGGTTAAAGCTTGCTAATCTGGTATTCAATGTACTTCTCACTTTCAATAATCCTGCCTCGCTGTAAAATTCTAAGAAATTTCTTTTTGTACGCACATATATCACGTCCATATCCATAATGTGCTGGATCAGCGAGCGTCTACTTTATAGCTGGTTTGCTACGTGGATACAGTCACTATAGTGCCCACTTAGCAATACAATACAATACAATATTCTTTATTGTTCATTCGTTAAGAATTACAATAGTGTCAGTACAATAGTGAATTGTACGTGTTAATTTCCATAATTTTCATAAAATTCCTTTATCGAGTAGAAGGGTCTTGCGATTAGCCACTTCTTCAATTCCTGTGTAGCTTGTTGCCAGTCAGGTCTCTCAGGTAGTCAGGTAGATGGTTCCTCAGTTTGCAGCCGGTGTAGGCAGGTTTTTTTCCCCAAAGAGTTGTTCGGTGAACTGGTAGGGCAAATTTGGAGCCATGACGGGTGTTGTAGTGTGCAGGTCTTGGTTTCTTGGGGGGTTTATTTCATCCACATACTTTATGGTTTCAAGTATGTAGAGAGACACCACTGTGAGGATTCCTAGGTTTGCGAATGCTAGTCTGCAAGTCTGTGGTGGGACAAGGTTGGCGAGGGCTCTTATGGCTTTCTTTTGAAGAACAAGGATTCGATTCATATTTTTTGTTGAAGTTCCTCCCCACACTGTCAAGCCATATCTAATATGCGACTCTACCTGTGTGAAGTAAGCTGTTTTGGCCACAGAGAGTCCGCCTATATAGTTTATTCTTCTGACGACATAATAAGAAAGTTGCCAATTCAATCTTAATAAAAGAGAGAAGCTTTTCAACGGTTTTAAAATGTATCCAACTAACTGTCTTTTGCTTATAAAAATGGTCCTGTCTTAAGAGCCAGATGATCTTATTAACAAAGCCACCACTCATCACATATTCATAATCTATTTACGCATTTGAATGTGTCTTAAAAATATAATCTAACATTACAGCTTAAGAGTTACAGATTTTACATTAGATGCTATTTATTTTGTTTTCATGTATTGTAGCATGCAAGAGAAGCTGTTTGATACAGTTTTTACATGTTCAACGAAGGAACTGGACTGGGAAGTGAAGAAAGCAACGTTGAGGTTTTGGCAAAGCACTGTCGTCAAACAGTTGTCGGACAAAGGCGTTCCTATCGATTCATTCTACCTGCACCCTTCCATTACCCCGAAAACTGAAGATGGAGTTTCAAAAATAATCGAGGTCATGGATGTTCTGAGTTCCATTGGTTGTCTCAAGGTTCGTATTTCAACATTAATGGTGGTCTGTGATGGAATCAACCTTATAATATTTGTTTTGTTATGATACAAAATGGGTTTCCGTTTGATTGAGGTTTAGCCCCAAAATCAGTGGGGAGTAACCAGGTCTCGGGGCTTTTGGTCCCAGAAGCCCTTGGCTCAAATCCTGTTTTTGACCAATTGCTTTAGATGTGGGGATAATGCTGTGACCCTCTAAAGCCTGAAGTAATGCTGTAAACAGTTTTTTATCTAAAGAGTAGCATCCTTGGAGATGAAGGAAGACACAAGTAAATGCTAAAAAGCCTATAATGTTTGCAGCAACACAAAATATATCTTATATTTGGATTTTGTATTTGTTCAGATCTTATTTTCACCCTGTCTAGTCATGCTTGATTTCTCGCAGGCCTTTGATTCCATAAGCCATAGTTTACTCCTGGCATAATTAAAACATTTTGGTTTTCATTGTGATGCAATTGCTTGGTTTGGATCTTACCTGGAAAACAGACTGCAAGTGACCAGGGTGGGTACCGATATCTCACCTCCCCTTGAGAAATCAAGGGGAGTACCTCAGGGGAGTTGTCTGGGGCCCATTTTGTTTACCCTGTACACTGCAGATCTGTCCAGATGTGTGAGTCACTGCAATGTGCATTCATATGCTGATAATTGTCAGTTGCATTTCTCGTACTAGATTCAGGCCAATACGCAAGCTTTTGCAGGAGTGAACTCTGATCTGGTGAGAATAAGTGAATGGTCACGCAAACATGGTTTGAAATTGAACGCTGACAAATGCACTGTTCTTTATATTGCTCCACCCACTACTCTTCACAGAGTTGCAAATGGAGACATGCACGTTCAACTCACAGACACAGGAAACCCTTTAATGGTGAGAGATAGTGTCAAGACGTTGGGTGTGGTACTTGACAGTGGCCTCACATTCTCGGACCACATAACTTATGTTTCCCAGGTGGCTTTGGGAAGGTTGCGTGGTCTGTACCGGTACAAAAACATCCTGCCAAAGACAGCCAAGCTGCAGCTGGTACAGTCACTAGTGTTGTCAGTGCTCCATTACTGTTTCCCTGCATATGGAAACAGCATCTCAAGGCAAGAGATGTCCCGTTTGCAAAAAGTGCAGAACTCCGCCGTTCGTTTCGTTTACGGTATCCGTAAGCGTGAACGAGTATCTCCATTCCGGGATGCTGCGGGGCTGCTGTCAATGGAAGCTGTGTGCAGGGCGCAGACTTGTAGCCTCATCCACCGAGTCTTGGTTCAGCAAGAGCCTAAGTACTTGGTGGAAAGGCTTGTGGCACGTGGGGAGATGACCCAACACGAGACCCGGCACAACACCTTGCTCCACTTTCAAAAAGTGCGCCTGGAAGTGGGTAGGAAAGGGTTTTCATACTTTGGCCCAAAGATTTACAATGATCTCCCCTTGGACCTAAAACAGCTGGGGGTCCTGGCTTTTAAAAGAAACTTAAAAAAAAGTATTAATATTGTAAAATAGTTGTATATATCCTACTAATATTATAAATGAGAAAGTTTGGATGTATGGATGTATGGATGTATGTTTGTGACAAGTGAACGTGAAAAATACTGGTTGGATTGGGCTGATAGCTCACATTCCCGATTAACATATAGGCATATTCTTATTTCAAAAATCCTTTCGGGCTCGCCCCAGTGGCTGTGGAGTTTCCCATGTTAACCTTATGAGAAATGGAATTATTGAATCTTAACAGCTGTTTCAACTAAACTAGTTGGTTCTGTTCTATGATGTTCAATAGCATTAAAGTTACAAGGATTACCAACAGGGTGCAGCACTATTATTTCTTTTACATTTATGGCAACAGCTAATTTGCAACCAAAAGGTGTGTGAGCGTAGCGAACGAACTTCAACCTGGAGGCGAGTTAGCGTAGCGAACAAGCTAACCTGAAGCTGAAGGCAAGTGAGCGCAGCGAACGAGCTCTAACCTAAAGGTGAGTGAGCGTAGGGAACGAGCTCCAACCTAAAGGTGAGTGAGCGTAGCGAACAAACTTCAACCAGGACGTGATTGAGCCATGCGAACGAGATAATCTTGAAAATTAAGAAGTTAAACGGGACAAAGCCCGCGGGTTACAGCTAGTATTTAATATTTTTATTTTATCACACGATGCCTTGTATTATAATAGTATTGTATTTTTAGTTAGTTTTGACCTGAGTTACTCTGTAAAACAGTTATATTTGTACTGAGAGACGCTCGGAAATAAAGGCATTTTTATTTATTTATTTAAACGTGTAAAATTTTAACAAATTAACACTCCCTGTCTCATTAATAAGTACGGAAAGTAAACCAATTGTAGTGTGATGGATTTACAACACAAAATTAATAAAGCAAGAACTAAAATTAAGGTAGAAACTGGCTAGGCTGAAAGGAATCACTTTGCAAATGTTTGTATTGATTTCATTGGAATTATGTTTTAGCTTTTTTTATGAGAAAAATGTATATATTATTTTTGTTTTATATAGTTCAGATAATTATGATAGTAACCTTAATTTGTAGACTTTTTCTTCCTATTAAAGTGGTTTAAATACCTGTAATGTTGATAATCAAATCGGTTGTGAAACAACTAGTTTCGGCTCACAATGGAGCCTTCTTCAGGTTTTCCCAAGGACATTGTCACTTCTTCTGAAGGTCGTCAAAGATCACAATATTTACAAAACATAAAAAACATTTAAAACACGTAACACGCATGCCTAGGCCTAGCTTTAACGATGTGACCGGCGGGAGTAAAACAGTATACCGTCGAAACATTTCTAGGCATGCGTGTTACGTGTTTTAAATGTTTTTTTATGTTTTGTAAATATTGTGATCTTTGACGACCTTCAGAAGAAGTGACAATGTCCTTGGGAAAACCTGAAGAGGCTCCATTGTGAGCCGAAACTAGTTGTTTCACAACCGATTGGATTATCAACATTACAGGTATTTAAACAACTTTAATTGTATCTTGATAATCCGGAGGCTACCCATTTGAAAATATTTTCTTCCTAGCTTCCCAAATTCTTGTTTCCTAATTTGTTGGTTTCATTTCAATTAACCTTATGGTGAAAAGGCATGTCCTTAAGCCGTTTGCATGTGTTTTATTTATTTAAAACTTTGTAAAGAATTCTCGATGAAGTTCTTTGTTATAAAAATTAATTAGGAAACATGTTTCAGGTGATTTGGTCGGATTTGGTGGATGACAGTGAAATAACTGTGTCCGAAGCAGCAAGTGAAGTGATAAATGGTTTTATAAACTTGGATAAAAAATGGGGCTATATAGACAAATTATTAAATGTAAGTACCACAAACACCCACGTATACAGTCTAGACTTACAGCTACATTGACTTATACCAGTTCAGTTATTTTCACATTGTAATCATTTGTAGGTCATAATTAACCCAACAAACCCTGATAAAATGTATCTGCTCAAATATGTTACCTGCAAGGTTTTGGTGGATTAACCTTAAATTGCCTCTGTCACAAATTCTGCAGCCTTTAACTATGTAGAACAACTACATACATTTTAATTAATGATGATTTTTGAAAGGGTTGAATTTTGATTATTTTGTTTTGTATATTTATGTTTCAAATTTTCTTTATTTTACAGGATGTTAACACCGAGGTGCCCAAAGAGTTACGGCCGGATAACAAGTTCTATCCAAAAGAGGAGTTTTTCCAAAACATTTCTGATGACAGTTGGAGAGAGAGATTGGCTGGACGCAAACACTGGGTTGCGGAAAGTGGTGATGATTTTTCATCACTTATGGATCACATCTTGAATATTAACAGCAGTGGAGAATTTGATCGTAATGCAGTTGACTGTTATTGAATTACACTTGACCGAACAGGCTAATCCGAACATGGTTAATCCGAACGTCCGCTTAATCCAAACACGTTTCCGATATTATTTTTTATAAATTTTCACTATATAAAATGCAATAGGAAAGGTAAAATATCTTGAAATGAAGTATAAACAGAGTAATCAATTAAGGAATACAATGGTTTGTTTATTACGTAAAGTTTAAATTTACAAATCGTAATAAAAAAAACAAATAAAACAAAGAATTATTTTGTAAGAAATATTGCACATACCGTACTGAAAAATTAACTTTGGTTAGGCCTACTTGTTATTGGACATGAAGTCCCGCATTGTCATTTGCTGCAGTTTAGTAAGTCTGTTTTTTGCCGCGTAGTTCCGCCATTTTCTCATGAACATCACATCTGCAGGCGTGGCAGTAGACTGTTGTTCTAAGTAGCGAAGGGCAAGGTCAAGCGCTGCAGCTGCCTCATTGTGTGTCACTTTCTCCTCTCCTCCCCCGCCCCTTGCTCGTCATCGCTACCCTCCCCCTCGTCTCCCTGAACATGATCTTGCGTCACTGCTGCTATGATGTCCACGTCAGTCAGAGTCTCTGCACTAGTACCGTCTGCCGCCATCCATTCATCCACGTCCTCTTCGACCGCGTTTTCACAACCAGGAATGTTATGAATCATTGGTAACAAGTTAACTGGGTCATTTTCGGTAGGGTTTTCTTCAAAATCTAACGATTTCCACAACTTTTTCCACAATTTTCTTATTGCTCCAGTTGTCACATTTTCCCAAGATTCAGCTGCCCAATACACAACATCCTTTACGTTTGTCTGTTTAATTTTTTGTACCAAGGGGATTGTATCATCTTCAATTAGGGACTTTAAAAAGTGTTTGCGATACTTAAGCTTCAGAGCCTGCAAAACCCCCTGGTCCATTGGTTGCAATAATGGCGTCACGTTTGGAGGTAAAAAGGCTGCCTTTATTTCGCCACATGTAAGTTCGTCGACGTCTGGGTGGGACGGTGCATTATCTAGCAAAAGAATCGCACGTGGGGGAATGTCATTTTCTTGGCTAAACCGTTTAACAGATGGTACAAATTGGTCATGGAACCATTCTTTAAACAGTTACCCGTCCATCCAGCCTCTCTTCTGGTTCCTGTAATACACTGGAAGTGATTTCATGTTTATATGTTTGAAGGCTCGAGGCTTAGCAGCTTTGCCTATCATCATAAGAGGAAGCTTATGGTTACCAGCAACATTGGAACAAGCCATAATGGTTACTCGGTCCTTACACATTTTAAAACCAGGAGCACGACTTTCTGATTTAGAGGCCAAGCTTTTAGTTGGCAGTGCTCCAAAATTTAGGCCGGTTTCATCGGCGTTATATATCTGTTGGGGGGAATAATTTCCTTCGCTTACCAAATTGTCAAATGAAGCAAGGTATTCCTGCGCCGCAGCCTGATCTGAGGAAAGTTGTTCACCGGTGACAGTGAGCTGCCGAACACCGTGACGTTTTTTCCACCGGTCAAACCAACCGGTGCTGGCTGTGAAGGAACTGTCGCCATTTAACAGATTGTTCAACTGAATTGCCTTTTCTTGAACGATAGGTCCACTTAAAGGGGTTCCCCTTTCCCTTTCTTGGGAGAACCACAGAAAAAGCGCTTCGTCGACTTTGTCATACTGTGACTGTCGTGCTGTTTGCCGATTTTCAAGGGTTACCTCTGAAGACGTTGTGCAATATTGTTGAAGTTTCGCACGGTTTTTTTTCCAGTCGCAAATTGTAGCTTTGCCAACGTTTAGCTCTTTCACTAGTTTAGTCACACTTTCACCACTATCTAAGCGTTTTAAAGTTTCCAGCTTATCTTTAAGAGTCAAAGTGTTATGTTTATGTTTATTAGACATTGCACTTTCTATCACACTAAAAACCGGTACACACGCAAATCCACAGGTGACTGACCGCACTACGTAAACAAAAGCAGACTAGATCAAGGTGTTGTTGTGTTGCTATTCTGACAACTAAGCTAGGTGTATTGGTGAGGGGAGGGGGGCAGAACGGGGCAGACGTGTTGGCTACTGTACAGTCTCGGTAAGCAGTGCGTGCAGACGTACAGTCCGCACGCATTATCGTCACATCATAAACGTCTGCCCACCCGTTCATATCGCTCTACGCTAGTTGATTGTTGATACGCTAAGTTTATTAACTAATGCGCTTATTTAACTTTTGTTTTTTAATTTTGTTGTAGTAAATGGACTATTAATATTGGTTTTTGTGTATTGCTCGTCTATATTACGACACTACGACCCCATAAAATTGCTTCCATCTTGATTATCTACGTTATTTCGGCTAATCCGAACAATCAGCTAATCCGAACGGGGTTCGGTCCCAATTTGTTCGGATTAGCCGGACTGCACTGTATATACATAGTTGACTGGTATATACATTCAAAGTTCCTCAGTATTTTGTAAGTTTGTTTCTACGTGTAAAAAGAAAATGTTTATGATTATCGGCAAGTTAACTGGCTGTAAACATCATGGATAGTTAAGTATGTTTTGTATTTATTTAATTAAGTCGAATAGAAGTGCTAATTTATTTATAATGTTCATCAGCTACAAAACAGAAATATTTTTTTTCTTTTTAACTCCCAACCTACTTGTAAAACTAGATCAGTGTAATGGATAAACTTTGGTTAAAGGTAAAAACTACCTTGCACTAAGTCCATATTATTCTTTCATACCTAGTGAGCAAATTACATTACTTTTAATTAAAAAACAAATGTTGAACTAAACAAAACAACAATTGTTATTCCAATGCAATAGAAATAATGTTATCAAAGGACAGGAACGGACTAAATACTTAAGATCCTTTCCATAAGTACGTTATTGTGTCATCTAATTTTTTATCTTATAAAAGTCTGTTTAGAATAATCTAATGTTTTATACTTTGCTAAGAAAATAAAGTTTGTTTTGAAATTGATTGTTTACTTTTACCTTGCATGTTTGTAGACAGTTATGTTAATTTGTGAAGCTACAGTAAATTTGATTAATTATATGAAACTATTATTTTTTGTATATCGGTTACTTAAGACTTTAAGTTTTATAAAGCCTACTTAAGACAAGTTTCCAGGAGTCTGAAGTCGATCTGTATCACCTTCCCTGTGGCAACAAACCTAATGACTGTGGGGTCCTGACTGGAATAAATCCACCCAGATCCACATTTTAATGAAAACCGTGCTAAATCCCTTTCCCAATAGCACTCACAAAAACCCTGCTCAGTGTAAGCCAGCTTTAATAGGTCTTGAATAAATAGATAAACTAACTACATTTTATATTCTAACTAGCCCTAGCCATGATTAGATGCCTGCAACAACTTGCCTAAAATATTGATAATTACATAGTTTAATTTAGTTACATCATTTAATTTATTGTTGGTTGAAGTTTGCTAATATAGAAAAGATACCCCTAAACACCCTTTATAGTCCGGTGGCTTAGTGTAATTACCGTTACATGGCGGATAAAAGCATCAAATTTGGTATGAAGGTATCTTAGGGTATACTAATAAATTTTAGTTAGGAGCCCTTTTGAAATTTTAAATATTTCCACACACGGCACCAAAATCCAAAATGGCCGACAAATGTGATAAAAACTACCTTTAAAACAATCCATTCTCCTGTTAACTCTAAAATATAATTTAAATCCAACCAAGACTCTACAATACAAACCGGAGACATACTAAATTATATGAAAGAAATCTTATGTGTGTCTGTGTGTGAGTGGGTCCGTATGTGTGTGAGTATTTATGTAACGAAACCTGCACTGGACATTGCGCAAAAATGGTCAAACCAATTTACTGCAAATTTGGTGTGGACTTTGTTAGTATCATATGTTAACATTTAGATCTGTTTCCTTTTATTTATCTATTTTTATAATTTTATTTTGTTTTTTTTACAATTTTCATCTATTTTTTTTAGATCTACAGAGTTAGGCAAAAGTATGGAACCCCCCAGTTAACTTTTTAACGCGTTGCAGTAGGAGAACCAAACTCGGCATATATTTACAAAATAAAAAATTGCACTTTTTCATCAAAGTTACAACTTTGCCCCAGCCCCCAGAATGGGGTATTTTGGGGGCAGCCCCAAATTTTCAAATGTAAACATCTATCATGTGACCACTCATTTTAAAGGGTTTATCAAGAGAAGTTGAATGGTGCAAACCAGAGTTCAATATCCCACTCCAAATCTAAATGGCAGCCATTTTAATTATTTAAGATGAGCAAGCAAAAGATAAAGTCTTGACAATCCCAGTTAACTTTAAAAATTTAATATTTTAATATTGGCCAAAAGGTGAATTATCTTTTTTTATAAAGGTATGTAGAGTTTATTGTTCCAGCTATAACCTGTTACAAAGTTAATAAGGTATATTTCAAAATGACTGCCATTTTGATTAGGGGGAATATCTTGGTGTCATACTGGACCGCACACTGACATTTAAGGCGCATTGTATTGCGACAAGAGGTAAAGTCTCAGCGAGGAATAATATCATCAGGAAGCTCACCAGCAGATGCTGGGATGCTAACCCTAATGTCCTCAGAACCTCAGCTTTAGCGCTGAGTGTGTCGGCTGCGGAGTACGCTGCACTAGTATGGAATGCATCGTCACATGCAAAAAAGATTAACATTGCAGTCAATGACATGGCTCGGATTGTAACTGGGTCTTCAAAACCAACCCCAGTACACAAACTCTATCCTATCATAGGGATCGCCCTTCCATCAATCCAACGTGATGTCGCTGCCGACGCAGAAAGGACTAAGCAAGAGACAGACCCTCGTCACCCATTACACGGCCACCAACCTGCAGAGTGACGGCTTCGGTCCAGAAAGAGCTTTCTATCACGGGCACAAGTCCTGGATGGATCACTCTCAATCAATCGGGTGGCAAGGTGGGAGGCCACGTTGACTAACCCTTCCTTACCAGCCAGGGAGGAACTGGCTCCTGGTGGAGGCCTTCATTACACGGTGTGGAAGACCCTAAATTGAATTAGGGTCGAGGTACCAAAATGCAAGACAAACATGCGGAAATGGGGTCTCTTACCAAACGAAGAAAACATCTTGTGCGCGTGTGGTCCTGTCCAGGATCCTGGCCATCTGCTGATCTGCCCACGCCTAGACCAGTCTTGCACATTAGATAATCTTTTACATGCGAATGACAAAGCCATATCGGTAGCTAATTTTTGAAAATGCGAAGTCTGATTCCCGGGCACGGAAAGTAAGTAAGTAGTATTAGGGGGGCGATATTGACTTCTAGTTTGCGCCATTTAATTTGTCTTGAGAAACCCTTGAAAATGAGGGGTCACATGATAGGTGTTTACATTTGTAAATTTGGGACTGCCCCCAAATACCCCATTTTGGGAGCCGGGTACAAGTTCTAACTGTAATGAAAAAGTGAATTTTATTTATTTTGTAAATATGTGCCGAGTTTGGTTTTCCCCCTGCCACACGTTATAAAGTTAACTATGGAAGTGTCCAGACTTTATCTTTTGCTTGCTCATCTTAAATTAAAATGGCTGCCATTTTGATAAGGGGTGCGATATTGACCTCTGGTTTGCACCATTCAACTTCTCTTAATAAACCTTTTAAAATGAGTGCTCACGTGATAGATGTTTACATTTGAAAATTTGGGGCTGTCCCCAAAATACCCCATTATGGGGGCTGGGGCAAAGTTGTAACTTTGATGAAAAAATGCAATTTAGTATTTTGTAAATATATGCCGAATTTGGTTTTTCTACTGCAAAAAGTTAACTGGGGGGTTTCCATACTTTTGCCTAACTCTGTAGATATAAAAAAAATAGATGAAAATTGTAAAAATAAACGAAATACAATTATAAAAATAGATAAATAAAAGGAAACAGATCTAAATGTTGACATATGATACTAACAAAGTCCACACCAAATTTTCAGTAAATTGGTTTGAACATTTTTGCGCAATGTCCAGTACAGGTTTCGTTACATAAATACTCACACACATACCCCCACCCACTCACACACAGACACACATAAGATTTCTTTCATATAATTTAGTATGTCTCCGGTTTGTATTGTAGAGTCTTGGTTGGTAAGTTATATTTTAGAGTTAACAGGAGAATGGATTGTTTCAAAGGTAGTTTTTGTCATATTTGTCGGCCATTTTTGATTTTGGTGCCGTGTGTGGAAATATTTAAAATTTCAAAGGGCTCCTAGGCTAAAATTTATTAGTATACCCTAAGGTACCTTCATGCCAAATTTGGTGCTTTTATCCACCAGGTAACGATATTCGTAATGTAAAGCCCTAAGCCACCGGACTATTATTACCCAAAAGATTAATTTACTATTTGGTCATTATTGCTACACTTGTACTTTACCAAGAGAAGAGAAGTAACAGGTCCGGACAGTGTCGACGCTCGCAAAAGACAAAACCTGCTTGACGGTCCATTCCTCGTTTACCAGTGTCGCAAGTGTCTGACTACAGTTGTCTGCTTGTTGTCCGATCCGTTTGATAGGCTATTCCCCATATGCCTTTTAAAAAAGTATACAAAAAAGTACCGCTACTCGCCACAAAGTCTGGCACCTAGGCCCGTGAGGGGACCTTTTTTATCAGACATTTATTTGAATAGTTGAACGTAAAATAGTACTTATTGGACTTAATTAGTTGTTCCGTCACAAACTCTGACATTGTAAAATGTGCGCTATTGGCATGATTCTTCTACTTCAACCATAGCTTTAAGGGTTTCCAGGCTTATTCATGCTTATTTATTAAAGACATCAATGCATCGGAATTCCTCGGAGCGCTAAATTAAGATCTCTATTGAAGAATAATCGATGTAGATAACTTTCACCTTGTAACGGATTGATCACATTCTTATATTTATGCTCTGAATCTTGACTTTCTTCTAATTTGCTTCTGTAGTTTTTAAAGTTTACTTGACCTTTTTGGGAATTTTCTTGTGTTCATATATTTACATACCAGTATTCCGATCTGTGTACATTCTGTTTTTTCATCTTTGATTTTGCTACATCTTTCTATTATCTAATTCATTCATTAAGGGATCCTTCTTGTCGAAAAGTACACTTTTAGATATTCCAAATGCTAAATAGTAGGAAAATTAAAAGTAATTACTGCCTTATCTGCTTGTTCGTGTACAACCTCATTCCAAATTTATTTTTCCTACAGTCACCCGACAAAGTTGGCTTCCTTGTACTGTTTATAGTACAGAAAGCTGCTAATTGCTGCTTGCTGCATATTTATACTTTGCCGTACGGTTTATACTTTGTCGTACGATTTATACTTTTCAGCAAATCAGGATTCCAACAAAACAACGCAAAAAAGTGTGGTTCTATTATTACAAAAACATACGGGACTACTCTCAAAACAAGGTGCACATTTCTTGCCGAGGAGAAATAGCGGAGTGATACGAACCGCGGGTACTACTTTCTCTAGGGCACCATTTGTGTTGCCAGCTGAACCTAAAAACGTGATGTATAGTGTTTGAAAGACTAATTATTTATATGCTTTATAGTGACTGTAGGAAATAGTTATTTGTGTAACTAGTGGTTTGCTGCACACGAGAGCGGAATGATCTCGAGTGCAGCAAAGGCCTTTTTCACTCGTGTTACACATTATATTTTTCCTACAGTCACTATAAAGCATATAAATAATTAGTCTTTCAAACACTATACAACACGTTTTTAGGTTCAGCTGGCAACACAAATGGTGCCCTAGAGAAAGTAGTACCCGCGGTCCGTATCACTCCGCTATTTTTCCTCGGCAAGAATTGTGCTCCGCGTTTTGAGAATATAGTTCCGTATGTTTTTGTAATTTGAAATGGTTTCCGCGCCTAAAAAAAATGCTTTAAAGGTATTTTCTTGTTTATTAAGATCGTAGGAATGTTTTAAAAACGT